CGTGTCCCCTTAATTGTGCTGTTTGGCTTTGCTCGGGGTGGAAACGGATGAGAGGGCAGCTTCAGAATTAGAAATGGAGCTGCCTCAAAAAGAAAAAAAAACATTTGATGATTGTCCGGTGAGATTTTAGAGGGCCATGAGTTGCAAATGAGCAGTCTGGTTATTTCATGATCGGTGGTCACAGGGATGTAAACGACCGGTTAGGTCTGCCTGTTGATAAGAAGGTGGAAGCCCTGAAGTCCTCCACCTTCTTATTTTTATTTTTGTTTGTTTGTTTGTTTGTTTGTTTGTTTGTTTTGGCTTTGCTCATCCTAGGTTGTAACACTAGATGTTGCAGTCGAAAAGGTAAACATTCCCCCTCTTCAGTCTCATCAGTGCATTGTGTTTGGGTTTTGTTGGGACAGGTTCCGCGTCGCTCGGATCCCCGAACAGAGGTCCAATTCCTCGGATGTGAAAACCATTTCGGAGGGTGTGGGGGCTGAACCCACAGAGCCCCCCTACGCCTGCCTGGCCCCTGAGCAGAAGCCGCTTGGCAGCAACGGAGTGAAGCCAAAATGGTTGACAACGGCGGAGGGACAGCAAGAGGTGGGTGCTTTCGGTGGCTCGGTCACCTTCCGTCCCATCCGGTCTCTCAACTATCCGATCGTCTTTTGTGGGGCCTTAAAGAAAGACTAGGAAGCTTAAATGCTCGTGGGCTGCAGACCCACTTCATCAGATGCCAGAGTCGCCCTCAGGGGGCAGGAAACTTGAAGGGCAAATGTGTCGAAGTTTGGATCGTGGGAACCTGATTCTCCTCTCTGATCCGCCACAGGGTTCAGGCCGGTCCCCGTGCAAGTCCAGCCTACCTCACAGTGTTGTTAAGTGCAGAAAGCAGACGAGAGAGTCCCCAACCCCTGCCGATGCCACTTTGAACTCAAGGAATAAGTTGGGCTTTTTGTTGCCGTTACGTGCCATCGGATCGCTTCCACCTGACGGCAACCCTATGAACGTGTGGCCTCCAAAATTTCCCGTCATTAGCAGTTCTGCTTAGGTCTGGCAGGCTCAAAACGGGGCTTTCCTTGTTTCCTATCTGGTGATGGAACCATTCAGAGACGGGGTTAGGTTTAAGGAGAAACCTCTTCTGCCCTCGGATACCTGTCTGGAGATTTGGTGTTTATGCCTTGATCCTGTTCTGTGGGCTTTTTCTTTCCTCTTTTTTTTAAACAATACCATTGTTACATTTTTCTATTCCTACCCACGCACGCACTTGGGGAAAAAAAATTCAGAGGATTTGTTTCCCTTTCTTTCTTTGGAGGCATTTTTCCTCTTGTTTATTTTTTATTTTTATTTTTTGCTTTTGCTTTTCCTTCCATAATTTAAGTCCCTTAAAATGATTTTTTAAAATAATAATAATAATAATCCTCTCTGGCTGACAGAAAAGTCTTTCTCTCGGAAACCAGCCGACAGAACAAGCACCCGGCAGGATTGCTCTGGTGCCTGAGATCTGCCAGTAGAAGCGCCCAAAAGCAATGGGTGTCAGGGAAAGGCCCAATTAGACGGGCGCCAGACCTCATTCCTCCTGCCAACCGAGCCGTTCGAAAGCATGTAAAAATGCAAGTAGATAAATAGGGACCACCTTGATGGGAAGGTCACGGTGTTCCGTGTCTAGTCGTGCTGGCCACGTGACCACGGAAACCGTCTATGGACAAAACGCTGGTTCTACGGCTTGGAGATGGGGATGAGCACCGCGCCCTGGAGTCGGACATGACTGGACTCAATGTCAAGGGCAACCTTTACTTTTACCTAGAGCTCATTCACCCGAGGGGCAGAGTGAGGAGCACAAAGTTATTATTTGGTAAGGGCTTCTCTCGGTGCTTTGATTTGGCCAACATGGAAAAGAGGAAGTTGGTTTAAAGAGACCTCTGGTCTGATCCAGTTTAAGGGATCCTGAGGAAGCATGCCAGTGGCTTCCTTTGCCAAAGAGTGCACAACGGAGCAGGCAGAAACAAAAAGGGTCTCTGACAAAAAAGGGGGGGCCCTCCGCGGGTCTCTGAGTGATTTTGCAAAACCAAAGATGAGTCACGCACAGGATGGAGTTGGCACCGAGGGAGGGGAAGTTCCTTGTTGCGACGGTGAAGGGCAAATGGCATAATGGATACGCAGATTAACACAGTGAGCCTAATTAGCAGAACAGCGTTTCAGAGCCTAGAGTGTTCAGGCTGTGCTTTCGGAGCTGTCTGTGTGTGTGTGTGTGTAGGCGTTGTTTTGTTGGTTGCCTTCCACGGCCGACTCTCCCCCCACGCAAGGCTGGGTGACTCTCTTAATACGGCCCTTTTGTTCCCCCGTTCTGCCCAAAGGAAGAAAGAGCAGGGGTTTGGCAGGACAAGAGAGCGAGCTCGGGTCGCACTGGCGTCGGCTCTCCCATCCGGGGTGGGAGGGACGTCCGTCGCCTGGAGGCCAAGAAAAGAGGATTTTGCTCCAGAAGGTGGACCGAGGAGGAAAGAGAACTCAAATCAGGAAGGTTTGGACTTGTGGGGGACAGGTAGGCGGTCGCTTGCGGTGCCAGGAGAGGCATAAAGATTCAGACATGGGAGAGCCGGGCCACTCAGCCAAGTGACTATGGGCAGGGGGCCATTCCCTACGTTCCTGGGGGACACCAGGGCAGTCCTTGCACCTGTATTGCTGGAGCCCCTCAGAGCGAAGGGTGGGAAGCAGAGAGAAAGAGCCGCACGGACACCCTTCTCCAGCTGAAGAGGAGAACTTCCTAGGCCAACAGAGGCCAATACTAGTGGGAGCAGTCTAGCTCTGCATCAGGGCCAGACCTAGGTCCATGAGACCCCTTATTTTAGGGGAGAGGATCAGAGTGTACCCCACGCTGTACAGCTGTAGCCGTTGAATACTAGATCCGCTCTCCCGGCCTCCTCCTCCTCCTCCTAGGGATGGCCCTAGAGAGTGGATGAATGTAGTCTAGCATAGGACTCCGAAGGTCCTTCTCCCACTGAGGAAATCATGGCCAGCATCAAAAGGCTATAACTTGGTCATGCAGATGCGCCCTTGAACACATGCCCAGTTTTCTCCTGTGGGATCCTGTGGAACTTACATTTCTCAGCCTTGACTGGATCATCTCTCTTTTTCTGTCACCCTCCCCTCTCCCTCCACTCACCTTAGCAAAAATAAATCGCCATTTGGTGGCTTTGCCCTCCTGTCATCAGCCTGAGAGGCTCAGACCCCCCCCAAAAAATGTCACAATTCACGGTTGATGCTGTCGGCCATATCTAAAGCTGTTTCCTTTTCCAAGGAGTGGATGGCTGCTGGCAGGCTGGAGAAACGAGTCTCTTTGGCTGCACACCTTGTTCTTGGTACACATCCATAGGACGCCAGCGGGCTCGGATGGCTTACACTCCAGAAGCTGTCCTGGTTGTCCATTAATCGCTCTAAACAAAATCCACCCTTGGGCAAATGCTTTTACAGTGGTGCCTCGCAAGACGAACGCCTCACAGGATGAAAAAAAAATCGCAAGACGAATGGGTCTTGTGAGTTTTTTGTTCCTTACAAGACTAGCCGCCTTGCAATATTTTTCATTTTGCGAAGCAAGTTTTCCCATACGAATGCATTAAAATTTAATTAATGTGTTCCTATGGGGGGGAAAAAGTCTTACTAATGCTGTCTAGTGAAAAGTTTGTCTTGTGAGGCACGGTTTCCCATACGAATGCATTAAAATTTAATGCGTTCCTATGGGGGGGAAAAAGTCAGAAAAAAGTCACTTACCTGGTAGTAAGACCGAAGTAGACCGAGGCCCGCTCCTCCTTGGTAGCCCAGGAGCAGCTGGTCTCTAGCGCCAAACAGCTGACCATCGGGAAACACCAGAGAGGCGGCAGCCATTTTGAGATGCGGCCACATGGCTGCTGCCTCTCAAAATGGAACGGATTAATTTCGTCTTGTGAGGCACCACTGTAATTAGGAACAACCAGTTAGCCGACAAAGGTGTGCTTTCAAGGGCTCCAGAAAACTTGATCAGACTTTGTGGTGCGGGGAAAAAATCAGAAAAACCAGGGATGGAAAAAAAAAACAGCAAGTAAAGGTGTGATCACATAGGGAACGAGATCACAATTGGGACCACTTATGGAGCAGCCTGGTGCAATCTATTGCCTGGCGATCACACGACGTACAGGGAGTTGTGCTGCCGCTCAGCCTTGAACCGTGCTCAACGGCATGCTTTTTGGTCCACCTCCGTTAGGCTTCTCCCTTTAGTGGATGGCTGCTCCTATAGATGGGAGATCACTCCTGTTAAATCGACCCTTTCTAGTGCCGTCGGGCAAGCGGCTTTTGCAGCTGTCACACCCCCAGTAAATAAGTAAAATAACAAATCCCCTTTCTCTTAGGGATTGGGGTGCTTTGTGGACCAACTAGTTGATGAAGATTTCTGTTGAACTCCAAACCTTGCACAGTTGTGTGGGGTTTGGGCTGGTCCTCATTAAAGCATATGCCCCATCTGTGCCTTTTTAAAAACCTTTTGGACCAAGATGATACCTTTGCTTCTCAACCACTGAAAGCAGCAGCTCAGAAAGGGACGGGAAGGTGGCTTTTAGCAGAACGCCCAGGTCCGATCATTTAGCACCTCCAGTTGCAAAAGAGTAACACGGTCTGGGCTGGAGGTTTTGAAGAACGATTCCCAACACTGGGGTAAACGAGTCAATGATACGGCTCCTTCATAAGGTTGCTTTCTGGGACACACACCCTGGGGTGGAGGGCCGATGCTCGCCTCTTGGAAGGGACCGTGCCCCCATGCAAACCTCTAACCCTCTCCCAATTCTTATTGCAATCTAATCAGGTCGTTCATTTTTCCAGGACAGCCCGTTCATTATTAGAGTCGGGGAGAGTAAACTGGTTATCTGAAGGTAATCCAGTCTGCTTCTAATGTACGGCTGCCAAATTTTCTTGGGTTGCTCGCCATCGTTCCAGGTCTTTGGTGGCTTTGCTTCAGAGCAGCTGGGGGCGGAGGTTGCTTTTAGGTTCTGGTGCTTTTGAGAACTGGGTTCTGCCAGGCTTTATTTGGGATGCTGGCTATGATCTCTGTGGAGCCCTCGAGGCTAATTTAGGCAAGAGAAAAGGGGGGGGGGAAACAGCAGGCAATTCTTTGGAGGGCCTTTCTTGTTATGTTATTGTGTGCCAACAAATGGCTTCTGACCAACAAGCAAGCAGAAGTAGGGCTTTTGAGACAGACGAGACGCTTGAGAAGTTGCTGTTCCCCAATGAGTTCCGTGGCTGAGCTGGGATTCGAACCCAGAGTTTCCGGGTTATATGAGAACCAACCATCAGAACCAGCAACTTCAGCAAGTCAGAATGACACCTCTTTTGACAGGATCTGCCTTGGGAATGTTCAGGATAAACGCCAGACGACGCAACCTTTCAGACGGTGCAGCCAGCTTTGATCTCGAAAATTCCAGCCTCCGAGTCTCCGGAGGTTAATGAAATAGATTTAACTTTCATGGTCAACGTTGCCTCTTTAGAAAGAATCACGACAGGCCAAAAGGGAGGAAAGGACACCAGCGTAGATGTATTTTCTGCATACCCTTGCATGCCAGCTGGCAAATGTGGATCGAGTGTTTGGCAAACCTTTGGCACGAGGCGGTTTGCTGGGACAAAAATATGCAAAGAAAGATCAGCCTTTGCACTGTGGATTTTGTCTCGAGCTTCCTTTGCAGATATTTCTCTCTCTTTCTCTCAGTTACGGCTCCCGCCTTCATCTTCTCTTTCCTACCTTTGGCAGGTGATCATTTGACTCCCCCGCTGCGACCGGAGAGATGGAACAGCAGACCGGTTGGAGGCCTCTGGCCAACCTGCCCGGCCAGGAACATTTGCGCACTGAGTGTTCTGGAAGGCGAAGGACAAGCTCTCCTTTAACATCCCCTCCTTTCCAACTTGGGGGATCGCCCACTCCCTCGAGCACGGAAGGGGCTGGTTTTTCCCCCTTCGGTAACGCCGCCTGTGCCCGTTGGAGACCTCCAGAGGATACCCCACCGGCATGGCAGAGAGACATCTTTTGAGGGAAGGGAAGAAGGTTCTTCCTGGTGGGAGGGGAAGGGAGGAGAGGGAGGGAACCCTTGAACTGCCAAACCGGAGAAGCACTACACGGCTTTTTGTTTACACGGCATGGCATCCCCTTTGTCGCACCCAGCCGGGCTGGGCCGTCTTCGGAAGAGCAGGAGAAAAGCGGGAGAACGTTTCTGCGGACATCGCTTTTTTTACATTGGCCACATTCATCTGGGTAATGGGGGTGGGAAGGAAGAAGCAAACCTTTTTAGCTTTTTGTTTTGTTTTTAAGCGGATGGGAGACCATGAGGGAAGGCTGAATTCCACAGCAGGAAGGAGAAGCAGCCCTAGTCCCACCTCCTGCATGCACGAGGTCCCATTTCTGCAGCATCTCCAGGGAATGGCCAGGAAAGAAATGAGTTTGGAACCCTGGAGAGCACAGTCAAGAGTTCTCAACATTGGGCTGATGGGGGGGGGGAAACTGGGTCTGACGTAGCTGTCTAGGCTTATCATGGGTTACGGTGGCCTCCCCAAATTTTGCAGCCAAGGTTCCCCACTGCTCACTCCATAAACCAGCTCCTGGATTCATTTTGGCACAGATCTGGCACCGTGGAGTGAGAATTTAACTTTTCGGCTCTCTACCAGCACAGTTTTATCTCTAGGAAGAAGGTATGGGACTCCTCACTCTTCCCTCCCCGACCAACATGACTATTAGGATGCTAAAAATTTGTTCAGGAAACCTAACAGTGATGACGCGGAATGATACAGCCCGCCCACCCCTTTCCGTACGATTTTGCCAACCTTTTTTTTTTCTTTTTAAGTCTCTTTCAGACGTAAGCCTCAGGCCCACTATGTATCGTCCGGTTTGCGTTTTTAACCAAGGCTATTACACTGTCCAAGGATTGGCAGGGAATTAAACTTCTTTTGTGTGTGTGTGTGTGTCTGGAAAGGCCACCTGGGCCCAATCCACCAGAATGGTAGCTCTTTGGAAGTCCCATGAAACCTCTTCCTTGATCCTGCGCTACTGGCCTTGGGGCTTGCCCCAAACAAGCTTGTGGTGGATCGAGCCCACGGCACAACGGTCTTTCTTCTGCCTGTGAAGGAAATAACAGGCTCCGCTCCTTGTTCCCTCTAATTTTTTCTAATTCCTAACAAATACTTACGTGCCATCAATTTGATTCCAGTTTATGCTGACCCACCCAGGGTTTTTTAGGTAAAAATTGCTCAGGGGGGGTTTTCCCCGGCTCTTCCTTCTGGTGGCGCTCCTGGACACACACACGCGCACACCCCTGTGCGGCTGGCTCAAAGGTAGGGCATGTCATCCCATCAGCCACATACAGTCTTTGTGGCCTCAGCCTCATTCTCTGCTGGCGAGGGAGCCATGGAGATTTTAAACTACTTCCAAGCCCTGGTCCCGCAGCCAGGCACGGCAATCCACGGAGCTGTACCGGCGCTTCCAGAATTTACACAACGACCCACACTAAACTGCAGTTTAGGGTCTCAGATTATGAAGAACCTCTAAATGCAACCAGTACCCCCCTCAAAAAAAGGTGTATTAGAAGGATGCTCCTTCACAAGGCCAATGCTATGGGATATTTCAATTTGATGAAACCCTTAGCGTGTCTTCATTTGGCCCGGCTGTATTCTTCAGACACACGAACACTGACAAGCGTTTTTTTGGAAAGAGAAGTGCTCTCTTTAAAGGGTGGGTGGGTGAGAAAGGGAACACCTGTTATTCTCTTAGCTGTGAGAATAATCCTCATGGTGCTCCTTCCTTACCACCGGCTGTGTTCATTGCAGTTCATCCTTCCATCCGGCAATAGCTCTTTGTGCAACGGGATTCTCCAAGTCTCGCCCAGGAAAAGACCACCGTGTTGTTGTTTTTTAATTCCAAAATGGGGAAACTTCTGCCTTTGTCCATCTTTCTAACCCAGTTTGTAAGAGTACCCAACCAGAGGTGAGCCTCTGAGAGATCACAAGCAGGAGGCCAAAGCATGAGCTCTCGCCTCGGGCTTCTTTCCCCGACGTCTAGATTTTCCGAGGTGAAAGTTGCCCTCCGAAGAGACTCGGCAAACCGCAGGCCGTGCACAGAATAGGAGCCTATGGGCTTGCTCGCAAAATCAGGCCATTCAAGGAATTAAAAAGTCGTGCCAAAGAGACTGGGGATCTGGAGAAATTGGGACAGTTGGAGCCAACCAGCACCGTGTCGTTCTTTTTTGCTCAGTTAGTCTTCAGCTGGGGCCGGAGGCAATAAGATGTGTAGACCCCAGAAAGCTTCTCATCTAGGAGTAGAGGTGCTGACCCTCTTGATCATCTGAACGGCAAACCCCCCACCAGCCATGCCAGCGTCAAGGTTCAAACTTTCTGGTAGGCTAAAGGTTTTGCACTCTTGCCCTGAGCTCTAGAAGTCTCATTTCCACAAACCCTTGAGATGTTAGGAAAAGCAGAAAAACCAAGCAACGTGGGCTGCTCATTTACTGCCCCTTAGTGCTTAAAGCACTCTCTGGGCAGTCTGCAGTTTAACGATGCAGACTATACATCATCTTCCCCCCCCCACCCCGAGCAAGCCAGAGACTCAATTTACTGACCTTAGAAGGATGGAAAGCTGAGTGAACCTTGAACCGGCTGCCTAAGCCCAGTAGGATCGAACTCAGGCCGTGAGCAGAGTCTTGACTGCAGTACTGCAGTTTAACCTCTGCACAACAAGGCTCGCTCACACTTTCCATCCTCTCTATAATACGAAGGAGAGGGCACTTGCTCTTAAAACAGGAAAACAAAATCTGTGATGTATACCAGACGCTGAATTTGGTAACACGGCGTATTGCCCTTCTTTGTGGCCGACACCACTTTCATGCTTAGAAACAGGAGTGGGGAGGTGGGGAAGAGGTTAGTATTTCTCAGAGAAGATTACCTGCAGAGCACGTGAGCTTGAACACCTCTTTTTGCCCTTAACCGGGAATGCCGGGCCGAGGGGAAGCAAAGCATGGAGACACGCTGAAGCCAGCCATTTCCACCCATCCATTTGCAACAGGAAGGACCCGCAATTATTTTTCTCTTGACCCTGCCTGTCCCGACATTTCTGTTTGTTTGTCATTTTTTTATTATGGTGATTTTTCTGCATCCAATACGTTATTTATGGGGGCAAAGCAGGAGGGGATGTTATCCTGGAGGAAGCAGCCAACACCCCTCCAGCTTCTGCTCCTACATCTTATTTATTATTATCGGGGTATTATGTCAGGGAGAACAGTTGGGGCTGTCGTACTTTAATATCGTAGGTTGAGGAGCTGGGATGGCTTTTCAGCCTCTTGGTTTTGTTTTCTGTACATGGCTCAATAAAAGCAGCCCTGGAATCTAAATGGCACACCTGTTTTGTTGGGTTTTTTTATGTGCCGTGAAGTTGCCTCCGACTTACGACGACCCCCTGAATGAGTGTTTGCCAGAATCTCCTGTCCTCGGCAACCCTGCTCAGCTCTTGCAGGGTCAAGCCTGTGGTTTCCTTTAGAGAGTCAGTCCATCATGTATTTGGTCTTCCTCTTTTCCTGCTGCTCTCAGCTTTTCCCAGCATGATTGTCTTTCCCAGCAAATCCTGCCTTCTCGGGAGGTTCCCAAAGGAGGACGGCCTCAGGCCCTGGTGGCACAAGGGAAATGTTATGGAGTCATCTACCAGTTACGTTCATTTGTTCTTTTTTCCTAGTCACACAACACAGAGTCAAGACTAGCGGTGCAACTGCGGAACATTTCCCCATCGCCATGAAGGTTGTGTTATTTTGTACCTTGGTTGTACCCGTGCATTCATTACTGGGATTGCCTGGGTGCATGCGCTTTTCAGAATCGAAGCCATGAAGGTGGCCACCACTACAGCAGTGTGCATATTTTAAATTTATTTTTCCATGCTACATACATCAATACGTTGGTTAAAGTATGTCACAGCTAGGGTGGCCAGATGTCCGGCAAAAGGAGGACGGACATGTCCTCCTTTTTAGCCTAATGTCCCCGAGTCTGGAAGGCAGCTTCTGAGGTTGCTCTGCCTGTGAGTGACACCCAGGGCTCGGGTGGGAGTCCTCAAGCTCCATTTAACCCTAGGAGGAGAAGGGGCGCTCAGGGAAGACATTCCACTACAGTCCAGCTTCGTGGCTCAGTGGTTAAACTGCTGGGTAGGGTTGCCAGATGTCCCCCAAGCGCATTGATGGGAAGGCAAGTGCCTGGACTGTGTGTGTTCAAAGTCCCTTTCAGGGACTCCAGCTCACACACTCCCCAGCTTTGAACTTATGACCCTCAGGGGAGGGGAGGCTGCCTCGTTCGGTTTTGCCCGGCACCGTTTTCCCCCTGCCTGCACCACAGCTTTGTTTGGGTATCCAGATTAGCAAGGTTGCCTCTGAACCTGTGCAGAGTGCGAGCTGCCAGGGGATCCCACAGCTGGGTCGGGGTGGGTTCAGGTACAATTGGCTGTTTAAATAATGTTTTTTGGTATTTGGGGGGGGGGAGCCTCAATTGAATTGATTTTTATTTTTTTAACATGACTGTTTTTTGGTTGCTTCACTAAGAGATATTTATTGGCAGCTATTGCAATAAAGTTGTATTGGTTGCGGGTTTAATTTGGAACAATTCAAATGAAGCATTCAATACGTCCTCCTCTGTCCTCTTTTTTTCTTTTCTTTCTATGTCCTCTTTTTGGTACCTATGTATCTGGCAACCCTAGTCACAGCTGCCCTTATATTACTGGTGAGTAATAGTTTTTCTTTCCTGTATCCCAATGTCACACCTCCCACTGTGTATGCGCGTGCATGCTCACATGCGCCATTACTGCTTTGCAGATATCCCAAATCCATTGTGTGCAAAGCATTTCTGCAGGAGCAGCCAGTGCAACAGAGGGACACTTTCCTAAACGGAAACCCCTTCCCGATCAATGTTCCCTCTAATTCCCACACCCACCACCCACCCCCGTGTGGGGTTCAGGTATGACAGGAACAAAAGGGGCTGGAAACGATAGCTGTGGGTGCCCTGGGGAGGAGGAAAGCAGTGCGGAAGGGGTATGTGTGCAGTCCCACATCTTTGAAGGAGACTTGTTTCTGATATATTGATGAGATATACAGTATACACGGGGCTAAATTGCCCCTTGAAGCAAGAGAGAACATAAAAGGGTGCCATGGCATAGCCGGCCATAATGATTCAAATACGAGAAAATAAAACAATACAGCGAAAAGTTCTTGGGACGTTCATCTTGGGATATAAACCATGCCACCACGATTCAGTACAACAGAGGTATGGAAAGGATCGGACGAACTCAGAACACATTTCCCCTTGTGTGACCAGGGCCGAAACAGCACATGAGGAACGGATTTAAGCCAGCTTGCTGCAGGCAGAGGGAGAGAGCCAACGTGGGTGGGTGGATGGTACACAGAGCCCCTGCCCCCACTGTAGAGATCCATCTTCTCTTACAAGGTCTTGCTCCATATGCGGCAACAGTGAGATGCCACAGCTCTGCAGCTTCCTTAGAGGTGTGGGTTGGTTTTCTTTGGGGCTGGAAAGAGACCAGACGCGCATCCCGGCGGACGTGCACCGCAGCACCCCGGCTGACCCTGCCTTGATTGGCAAAGAGAGCCAAGCACCGAAGAGGGCCTTGGTTTTTCTCTTGCGGGTTCGGCGTGTGTATATTTAGCAGCCCTGCATTGCACGCTCACTCTCTCCCCCTTTCTCTCTGCTTGGCATCCTCTGCCTGGGTCTTGGGCTGCCCACGGCCATTAGGAAGATGGCTGGCTGGCTGGGTTCAATTCCACCCTGCTTCTGCTCAGCCCCTCCTGCAAGCGACGTGGAGGACGAGAAGCTCTCTGCCTGACCATCAGCCTTCCTTGCCTGCCTGCCGTGCCAAAGGGGATCCCGGGAGGAGGCCGGAGGAGGCCGCTGAGAAATTGGTGGGCGAGCAATCGAACGAGGCCCGTGGGGATTTGCCATCTCATCTCAAGGGCTTGGGGGGCGATGGAGCTGCAGAGAGGCTACGACCAAAGCAAAAAAAAAAATGTCTTTAAATAAACGAATTGCATGCCCTCGGGTGTGCTGAGTTTTAATTGCTTTGATCATTGCAATTTGAAGGGCGGCGTGGCTCCGTCCGGTTTTAATATTTTCCAGAGGACTGATCTGCTTTTTAGAGCACTGGTTAGCCCTCTCGAGCAACGTGCTGTTTGGTGGGAAAGCAGATTACAAACATTCTAAGTAAATCTAAAAAATAAAAATAAATAAATAAAGCAGCCTTCAGAACTAACTGCTGGATAGCTCAGGGGTTGCGGTCTCAGGCTGCGGAGACAGAGGTCAAGATTCAGTTCTCCCACTGAGCTTCCTTGACCGGGGTGGGCTCAGAGGATCCATAAGGTCCCTTTCAGCTCTCCATTTCGAAGATGATGAGGAATTGACGAGGGAAAACAAAATCAGCTAGGTACAACTCAGTGTGGTAGAAGAGCAATGTACAAGATAGAGCAACAGCCGCCTAGAGTGGTCGTATAGACCAGATGGGCGGGATACAAATCAAACAAACAAACAGGACTCCACTTATCAAATCAAAACAAACAAACAAACAAACAGGACTCGGGTTCAAACCTCCACTGAACCGTTCATTCATTTGACTAACATCCCAGGATTCTCACATGAACAGGAAGAGACTCACTCAAGGCAGCTCGCTTTAAGAAAAAAAAAACTGAAATAGGTGGGTGCAAATAGAAGCATGTACAGATCTTAAGAAAACAACCACAGAATAAATGTTACAGTGCACATATAAGTATTGCACACTTTACTGAGTTTTAAAGCAAGTGGATATGCAAACTGAAGCAAGACGCTTACTTATTAGGGCTTATTTTCAGGGGATGTTTTATTTTTGTCATGTACAAAAATCTGTGTTTATTCATATACAGTCATGTCCGCTTCTGGTGGTTGCTGCACAAGGTTGGAGGGTGGGGTTTCATTTCACAGGGGTTATTTTTGGGGTAGGGCTTTATACAGTATTACGAGCATCCTGGAAAATCCTACTAGGGCTTATTTTCAGGTTATGTTTTATTTTCGGGGGGAAAGGGTATATATTTACTGTAAGCTCTCTGCCAGACTACATCAGTTTTAGGTGCAAAAAAAAAAAAAGAGGAATTTAAGCAAATAAAGCTTTGAAATCAACTAGCTGTTGAAGTGGAAATGTACCCCTCGATTTTCTAACTATAGGTAAATCTGTTTGTGTATGTCTGTATGCGTGTAAGAGAGGCTGAAAGAGAAAGAGAGAGAGGTCAGCAAGGAAAGAGGAACACAAAGACACACGTGTTGTTTATGTCCATCTTTCTGGGTTGCTCCAGATTTTAAATAGAAATCTGGGTCACTCCCAAAGGGAACAAACTGTGAGGTCTCTCACTTGCTGGTTTATTTATTTATAAGAAGAAAGTTATTCTCACTGAGTTAACTTTTCTAGCCGGGGGAAAAGTCTTAGATAGCTCAGTGGTTTAGGCATATCTGGCTGGGGAGCAAAAAATTGGGAGTTTGATTCCACCCCCTGGGCCTCCTTGAGAGGGGGTGAACCCAATGATCCATTGGCAGATCTAAGGTTATTATTATTAAATTACCCCATCCAGACCAGCTTTCTGGTTTAACACTCTGCATCTATTTTAAAAAAAAGAGGAAAAGACTGCAGGAGAAGAAAACTCCATAGGAGGGTACATGTTAAGATGCCGAAACTTTGGCTTCATTTCCATGAGATCTTCGGCTGAGTCTAAACCTACGGAGAGCTGTTGGGGGTCAATAAAGGCACTAATTCAGCTAAATAGACGAATGGTTTGAATCGGTATAAAGCAGCTCCCTATAGTAGTCTGTGAGCCATTGGGCATTCACAGTGCAAGAGACATGGACCTCATCCAGCAGGAGAGGACCAGAAGGAGGACTTTAGTGTGTCGCACGGGGGTGCGGGTGGGTAGAGATTAATTTGGAAGTGCTGCGGCTCTTCATAGCAGCCCATGTGATTAGCTCCTTTGAAGGAGAGACCAGAAACGGAGGCTGCTGGATCTGTCCATAATCAGCCAGTGAGGAGCAAGTATTTTGTCAAGCCAGTGGCTCTTGATTGCCTATACAGTACCAAATGATCCTGAAATACTTTTCACGACAACGAGGAGAAGCAGGCTACGATATACTAATCCGGGTGGGTGGAAGGAATCTTCCCTCCTAGCTACGATGCCAATTATAGCTGAGTTCAGAAGGGAACATAAACCTGATGGGCTAGCAGATAATAGATAATAGTTAAGAGATGGACTCTTCTGCTGTTTGGATTACAAATCCCATACTTCTTCACTCTGAGAGTTCTACCTGACAGATACCTGGACGTGGCTCACCTGGGAGAAAGGCCTAAACTGGAAGATGTACCTAGGCCTAGCTTCCTGTGCAGAGAGAAAGCT